CGGGATACTGCATAGTATCAGCTAGTGACTTGGCTATTGCTGGATATAGAATATCAGGACCGGCTAGTTTGAAAGGGTTTAAGTTAGCCATCAAAATGTAGATCAATTGCGTAGTCAGAACCATGAGCTGCATAATATAAATACTTGCACATTGTGACTATCATGGAGCAGCAGACCTACTACACACCCGATGCAGTTTCTGGTAGACACATAACCGACTTTCCATTTTCTACACGGCGTGCTCAGACTGCACGTAGCTGTTGTAATACTTGGGATGAGTTTTCGCTCATTGGACCAACCTAAGCTCAAATGAACTTTCGCCAGTAGTTGCAAGTTAATATGCAGATCCCGCATTAATTGTACCGCAACCAACATCGGAATCCTTTGCATTCTCAGAACGCTTTCTACTTTTCAAAACGCCCCTACAGCGGTCTATGGATTCTCTACGTTCACCACCTGGCTTAATGAAATAGCTCACAGAGCGAAGAGAATAAACTAATTTGGTAGTCACACTAGCCTAGTTTTTTAAGCAAAAGCCACTTATGTTCCAATAAGTGTTACTGGTCAGAAATCCAGTTGACTGGTGAGCTGTGTCCCTCATTTGTATGCGGCCAATTCGACTGAAGCATCTCACGTGTCGAGGATTGCTTGCAAGCTTCGGTATGTTTAAGGAGAATGTAAGGGCGCAAATATCACCCTAACGCATTATAGTGCTTCTATGTGTAAGCCTGCCAAATACATTTTATTTGATCACAATGTCTAACGTGGAGGGCGACAGTCGTGATACGACATATGGTCGGTGAAGTGAAGTCTGGTTCAAATGGATTATCATGCATCTACTCTATCAGTTCCTACTCCAGAATGTCCTCTTCGTTTATGGTGTTCTGTCAAGCAACGGTGCAGCAACAACCGCGCGTCACAAGTATACACCTAGTTTTTGGCCTACCTCTTGTGTGGAGGATGAGCTGCGGTAGACGGATGCAAAGAGCACCACTCCAATAATCACCCTTAAACAACGAGAAGGTAGCTGAGCGTTTGCCTCATTCAAGTAAATGGAGCCTAAAAAAGGTTTATGCTGCCGCTTCTCCACCAGTTTGATTGCCAGGACATTCTGCTCAGTAGACCGCAATATCCACCAGCAAATCGGCAATGAAATCGTTCGGAGAAGTAAAAGTCACACTCACAGCGGCCCTATAAGCAAGCGCACAGCGCCTTAACAACACGCCCATGTTTTGTTCACAATGTAGTAATTTGTGCGCTATAAATTTAGCACTCGGCGGAGACACATCTCAGCTACGTTTACCCATACAGCTGCCAAGCCTAGAGGAAAGCGCAAGGCGGCAGTTTCGTCCTCCACTGACTATTCATTAGTGCACGTCAGACGAATCCTGCCGGAGTCGAACCCACGAATTGTGCGTTTCGAGACAGCGAATTAAGCCGCTCCGCCATGTTTGAAGTTATAGTGACTACACATCTGGTTCCTAGATGCGGAGCAGACTGATTGGGTTTCTGATGAAAATGCTAAAGATATCGATGGGTTTTAGTGGCATCAATCTTAATGACATGTTTGAGTTTGTTTCTTCCGATAACTTGCGTGGACATCGTTTCATGCTCAAGCAAATGGAGCCCGATTGGACGTCAGGGCGGTTTCTCAAGAATATTGTGGTTCTCATCCGGAATAAGTTACCTTAGGAGTTGGTAGACTGCAGCACTGCATTCGACTTCAAAATAGGTCTAGATATTTGCTGGTCACAAAACTTCGAGAACTAAAGTAATTCAACAGAAACTAAGTAGCAAGACATCGGGCAATGATTTTCGTGATCCTTAACATTGCGAATTTTGCTTTCGCTCCTAATTCGTCACATTTGAAGAAGCAAGGAGAGGCGATCAAGCGTCGAAGTGGCGGCGCTCTGGTTCGTTTACCAGTACAAGAAGCATTACGCCCGTTTGGTGGGAGGGTGGATTCTCCTTGGATTTTGAACTGACCTAACTTGACTTACATCTCCTATACAAACTAATAATAGGCAAACGTATTAGTAGTTTTGAAGTCAATTGACTTTGGTGGCGTGCAAAGCAATTTGTAGTCTTAGATGACAAAGGTCTTCTGCATAGTCACAACATGCATGACGGTGGAGGATAAGCCACCAAAATGGCACTAGAATATCAGATGTGGCGGACCGCCGCCTCAAATGTGGCACAGCGGAATGATTCCGGAACTCGCAAAAGTAAGCTTATGAGTATTAATACTGTAGTGTTCATAGGCTGCACGCAATTGAGAGTCCCCATCAGGCAAAGCGCCTATCCGACCGCTATCCTTGATGCATGGTTACTCTCCAGCCAAATTAAATTTTGACGAACTTTATCAAAACACCAAATTGAACCGACACATTCTACTAACTCTTAGTCGCCTTGGCAGCTTATAGGCCAGGTCGACTTTGGCGGCTTTTAAGGAAATGTTTGCTACGCTTGCCAGTTTTCCATTCTGCGAATGCAGAACCTACGGGATATATCGCGATTTCACTGCAGTTTGGATGATCCGATGCTCTCGCGCATGGCTCAGCGGCATATGGCGTATATTCTCAGACTATATTCATGTGTCTCAAACCGTCTCGAATCGGCGTGTGCGCACTACTAACGGATCCCATAGGTCAATCCTTTTACGTAGCAATATGTTGGATGTGTGCTCATAATCCGGTTGAGTTTACTTGCGACCAATGTTCTGCAAACACCACAAATCTACGAAAACTCACCTATTTTCAGTAATCAATTTACCAGCTTACATTTCCTTATATTTGATAGAGGCTAGCAAGGAATTTGTAGCTGTTGCAGACAGTTCTAACATCTGTACGTGCGAAGCAAGCTTGGCAGTGGAGGAGGAGCCGCGCAATAACGCATTTGGTTTAGATGTGCAATTTAGTTGCCATTACACTTCTCTCATCGACATAGGTCCTTACTCAAAAGAGTGCAGATTGTAATATTATATCCACCGGATGTTGCTGGTGAGCGCTGCTCACGGGTCCCACTAGGACCAAACTTATTTCTAACACTTTCCTCTTATGATAGTTTCCTACCTGAATTCCAAATTTCACCCAGATACACTGTAACAATTACCAAGTATGATATGAATGAGATACTAGCACTGATAATGTTGTAGTTGTTTAAAAGATATTAAGTAAATGCAATCCAAATTTGCCTATGTATTTAATGAAATTCCAGACATTTACAGAGCTTCTATCTAATGGTTGTTTCCAATCAGATTTAATCCACTTTGGTTTCATTCAATTTTATCCCATGCAACACGTATGGAATAGTTGCAAACGTAAACGGAACTGTTTAGCTGATCACAACCCAATTACGTTGAATAGACTTTCGCCACTTTCTCAATTTATTCTGTTAACTGAGAAAAATATTCATATATAGACTAAATTTGAATCATCATGCGAAGTGACAATGGAGCAATTATCCTGCAGACGATGGTAGCTAATACTGGCGGTAAGATTGTGAATGTAATCCTAAACGTTTGTTTAATTCCAACAAGTGGGTATTAAGATATCTGGGTCATTGTGTTCTCATTCGGAGCACCGCGTTATTTTGTACGGAGAAAGAGATAACAAGATTGTCAACAATAATCAAAACATTCTCAGTCACTCGGGCTCTCCAGAGCATTACTGGGGTTATCAACATATAAAAATCAATAGGCTATGAATCAATGCAACAATAACGAAGTAAGCGCATGGGCCTGGTGGTTTTCAACTCAATAATCTCATGCTAGCTGTCAACACCCGCACTATCAAACACATTGTTTTTGGGAGTGTTGTTTTGCTAATTTAATGGTATGTTACGAATTGTTATATAAACGTGCATGAGCCCGGCGCATGGCACTGAACAAAACCACCATGAACGCAAAATGCACCACAGCTTTGATACTCATGATCACTTTGGCTATGGTTGCCACAATCGGTGAGTTGATGGATGTCATGTTTGCTCACTTACCTTATGCACACTTGCTTGTGTACTTAATTGCATGTGGACGGTACACTTGAGTAGATGTGACGGACCAGTTTCCACAAGATGTGGTTCTCTGGAACGGCTCAAGCAGTTATTAATGCAATGCAGTATGTCTGAACCATAATCTTGTTTTCCGCTCTCCTTGTGCCCAGTTTTTGCCTTTCAAGCTACACTTCACGGATTTCTTGGAAAATCGTCATTTTTATATCCATTTTTATTTGATATATATATATATTTGTTATCCAGTTTTATGTCCAGTTTTTATGGTTAAATCTATGGTGGATTCAAGCAACCCGTTAGACTCCGGGATCAATTCAAATGACACAGCCAGAAATCGGCTACGGTGCTATTTTGACAAAGGGTTAGGGCAACAAAATATATGCTGACTTTGACAATGTTCTCCACAAAATGTACAATAGGTCTGTATTTCAAGGAAATCCAGACGCCCAAATACGACTCTATCACGGCAACTATTAACTGAAGTCCAACCGGTTACGCAGCCGGCTGAGAAATTCAGTCAAACGCGATTTAAAGCAGAACGGTCAATGGTCTAATCGATCAAGCCGTAAAAACATCAGCTGGGCCGCATACGTCCACCGGGGATACCTTAATTACATTTACCATAGCGAACTCCAAATAGGCTACTTAATACTGGACCCTGATTCGTGATTGCCAGTCCATGATCCACTATTCAAGTTTGTCTCGCTCCATATACTGCCACTAATTGTTACACAGGCAGCGTCGCTGAGGGTAAGTTGTCAGTTTTACTACTTTCGCACCTGTCACATTACATGCATTTTGCATAAGTGCTATGGTGATGATGCGTCTCCTTTCTTCACCACAGCTTCAGGAAGCTTTAAACTGACTGTATTCATCCTGTGCAAATTTATGTGTATGAGTGCGAACAGCTAGACACTTGCCGGTCGATATTTAATTAAGCAAAATTAAGCAAGGCCGCTATAGTCGGCACATTAAGTCCTGCCATCTACTTGATGCGCTGCATTCGCATTTTCTATCGCACCTGTGAAATTAATATTACAGTACTCTCAGTCATAATTCCAAAATCTGCCTTATACACTTTCGGCAATCTGGCCAACCTCATGCTTTTGGATAATTTTACAGTAAATAATGTGGAGGTTGGTAAGTTCTGGTTGTTGCCCACAAAGCAAAATCGCGTGTGTAAATTAAACTGACTAGACGACAGCGATTTTTTATGGTATTCGCCTTGACTGACTGTTTGGTTACTAGTAGCTTGTCGAGGATCGCAGTTTGGCTGCTTTATTTGCTTTATATAGCCGGTTGCCTCGTAAGCTCTTATTCAACTCAAGGCTAGGATGCATATAACCCAATTTCATTGAGAAAGCAGCATGAAATTGTTGGTTTCATACCTGTAAGTTAATGTCGCATATATTTGGGATTTAATCGTTGTTGTATGGCAGTGCGTCCAACTTATGAAATTCATCTACGAACAAGGCGTTAATGTGTAGATATTTTCCCTCTCAGAACGCATAACGGTTGCGTGTTGGTTTAAGCCACGTTCGCATAAATAAGTGAGTGGTCATTACGTACCGAATAGCATTAGTGACGCATCGATGATGACGCGATACATAAGGAGAGCAATGATAGATTGGTTAATATTCTAGTAAAATCTTAGGAAAATTAGCACCAATGTCCTGGCGAAGAGCAAACAGTTCCTGGTGCCTGGTATTTTTTGAATAATTACAATTTTCTAACCAACCCTGTTGCTCATTCCGCCTATGAAATGTAGATCAGGGTGTAAAGCAGGGTAAGTCGTAATCCATTTGATGCATATTTTAATTAATCATAGTCACGGGTAAGGCAAATTTTCCAGTGCTTTTCCAGTGATGAATGAAATCTTACCACGATTTGGACTTTACAATATCGCCTATCGCGTCATTTGTTTAACGCTATACCTATGCCTCTGACCTCGCCTATTTTGCTGTGCAGATCAAAAGTTTGCAGTCAGTGAGTCCGCATATTTTTCGTCAGCTATTTATGGAATTTCCTACCACATCGAATAGTGTGTTTTGAATCAGGAAAATCAGTATTCAGTGTTATTGAAAGATGAGCACTACAATCAGAGCGCTACTGGTAAAAATCTATGTCGCTCTGTCGGAACCTTTCCGAGAGCACAAGCTGGATGATTTTATTTAAAACCGTCAGGTTATATCTGCTTCTTGTGCGCCATTCCCCTTCGGAATTGGCTTCAATACGGAGTATTTTCCGTCGCTTGGCGATGCACTTTAGACAAAGTTCTATTACACAAACCATTCACCGTAGGCGATATGATGTCTGATGTGGATTAGTGGTTCAGTATTTGGTGCCGGTTAGGACTCACAGGCTTATGTAACCAAAACTAGCCCGTGACTGCTTAAATCTTTCAAACCCTAATCCATACAGTGGAACGCGGTGGGAGTTGCACACGTCCAACCAGATACAGACACAGGTTGACTTGCAAATACAACAAAAATTCATCAAACACCACAAGTTCTTGTACCACGTAGATAAATTCGATGTAATGCCTATCCGCTAGCAGAAAGTTCGCTCTGTCTCAAGAGGAGACGCAGTAGCATTTGTACTGGAATAACTAAGACATTTCCACCGTAATCAACCAGTTCTCAGACAGCGGTTATAATCTTAGCCTTTTGGAAGCACCAAATTGGCACAGGTTTTCACGTTTTTCCTGTAGACTGCACTTAGTATCTTGGCACATGCAGCATTGGCAGGAACCACTGGGAAAATCTGTAGCCTCATAGAGCATTGCATCTGCTTTCGACGAAGTCAAGCATCTTCCAATAAAGAAGGAATTGCCGGCTTGGATTCATTACTATTCCTAAGCTGTTTTAGCTCAATCATAACAGACTTTTGATTACTCGTTCTGACGGTCCCATATCTAGACAAATATGGTGCTTTACTTTGCTTAGCCTACCGAGAAGAGTTCCTGTAAAATTGAAACCTTCTTCATCTACATTAGTAAAAGCACAAGCCATGTCTCCTCAGTATCTCTTTTTCCACTATTGGTAGCTGGTTTCCCCCACAACCCTTGTTCACGCATTTGGGTGTTTATAACAAGCAGACACTACAAATTTTGTTGCATTTAATCTGCAAGGGAAAGCGTACTACCGAAATTAGCACGGTGTTAGCTTCAGTAAATGTAAGACAGATTCGATGTAGCAGTGCTTAATAGGTTTGTTGACCCGTGAAATGAAATTTATCTTGTTCTTTCGCTACGCATATCTTTAGACATTCGTCCTGGAAAACGTGAAAAAAGAAGTAAGTTTTCGCTGGTCAGAATTAACTTGCTTGCAAATACTGCAACAACTCGGAACTTCCCCTATGTGTCTATTTGTATATTAATGTATTGCGATCACAATAGCAATTTTACGCTGTTTGCGGCAAGCAATATAAAGCGTGTATTTAGGTCATTGGCGGATCTATCGATTACCGTCGCGGTCTCCTCTAAATCACATCAAATATTCACAATCCACAGGGGCTAACTGTAAGAGAAATATGGCGCGGTTACCATTATTACTGCACCTGTATTTCGATCCATCAGACCCTAGGTGGAAGTACGGAGTAACTGTACTCCTCTACATGCTTTGATCTTTAGACTATCAATGCCTTATTGCAGTAATAAATTTAGCTTTTCGAAATTCACCAAAATTAATAGTCTCAGTCTGTTTTGGCTGCTAAATTTTGTTCGTTGACATTGCAAGGTGGACGTTCAAATAGCTATGAGCTATCCTCTTCCGTTGATTCTGTTTGAGGTACACTCACTATATAGACACCTACGGAGAAAATGTTAAATTTACAAAGCAGCCTAAAGTGCAATGATTAAAACTGAAACGTCACTTACTAGCTTGTTCCACTGCCGCATAAAAATCTAAGCTCTTTGCCCTGTGGGAAATGCGCTCATGTTGAGTTAACCGCTGTAGACCTCCAAATTTATCTGTCTGTTTCTGCGCGAATGCGATGACGAACTGCTGCCTAACTGTTGGATTATGCTTGGTAATCACACGTTTCTGACAAACAAAATACATTCTCTATCGTGTTCTTTCGGCAGCCTTTATTTACGGTAAGTATTTAAAATTTGTGTAGTTTTTATATGTGTAGCATTTTTGATAGATACAGCTCTTATAATTAAGCTGAAAATGATGTACTCGCGCATGATACATCGTTTAAAACGAAACGTGATATATTTTGCACAGTTCCATAAGAACATGTTATGGTTAAGACAACACAATTGCTAGTCTTTTATAATTCGGAGCGTAAGGAAAATATTTTTGGTAATTTTGTTTCTCAAACGCTTTGAATTCCAATAGATAGTTTTTATTCGCTTAAATCAAGCTTCTTTTTTTATTATTAGCTAATATTTTGGCGCAGAATGTGTGTCTGTTTTGTACGTACAAATCAAGGGCCTACATTGTTATCTATCTGTAAAATAGGCCTTTTACCGAGCATAATCTTAAGTTGACATTAAACACACATTATATATTTAATGACGCAATATGATTCAACGAATTTTGATACGGTGCACAAATCAGTTTTGCACCTCCCGTTTGATTAATTTACATTAAATTGCGCTGCGACCGTTTTACTATTCAGACCAACTTAATGGTGTACTTAGTAAGTTGCATTTTACAAGTCAGCAAGTCGTAGCTGTTTATGCGAACACTATAATCTGCAGGTTTTCTGATACACTACATAGAACGACAATATCAGTAGCTAAAAGGGTGACAGTGATATTTGCTTTCATTCCGGGCTGCAGAAGGTTGACCGTTCTTTTGCGGTGAGTGTGCACTCTATTCTACGCTGATTATCCCACATGTACCCACCAACTATGGGGCCAGTCCGTATTGGTATAATATTTGATTCAAATGTATTTTCTCCTTTTCATCTACAACGACGCTTTAGTAGGCTGCGTAACTTTGCCCTGTATTTCTTCCTCCTCAGCTTTGTTGATGCCTCTTGGTACGCAATATTGCCATCGTTATTTGCCGTAATACATGTTTGCTGACTTGCGCTGCCTTCTGTCTGAGTTGGTGCTTAAATGTTAGACAGCTGTAGGCGGTTTGCACCTAATTATTTAATCCCACGTTGGGCCACAGTATCTCTGAACTAATGCGAATTAAAAGTGTTCGGACATTCAGAATGCATATGCTATTCGTCGCGCGGTAGCAAATTATTTTGATATTGCACGCATG